TTTTCAATCTATAACCACACAAATCAAAACATCATCAGCAAATGCATTTCTAAATTCATTCCAACACAAAAATTGAGATTAATCTAGAGCTTAGTTTGATGAATCAAATGGAACAGAGGGACAAATGGAACAGAGGGACTCTTACCAATATCTGTAATCATCTAAAGCACAAGATGAATGCAGTGTTAGGGTTTAGTTTAGTTTGGTTTTTGAAGGGAGTGTCAAAATGATTCCCAAAGGACAATGTCATTTTCCATTATTTATCAAAACAAATGAGGGTTTTCATTCATTTTTTGGCACAGGGGTTAGATGAAATTCTGAGTGAAGGGCAAAAAAATGTTTTACACTATGCTGCCCTAACATAACAGCACAAACTTCACTGGTAGCACTGTGATCTTGGGATGAAACAAATTAGAACAAAAAGTAATACTTCAGCATCAATACTCCTTTATATTTTTCTTCACTTTTAATTTTAGCCCATACCCAATATTTATGCATTATGAACATCTAAACTTCAAAGCAGCTCATGAATTCTCTTAATCATAAAGCAAACTCAATTTTGTAAAACACTAAGTAAAATTACCATTTATCTAGAGCAAAGACTCTTAACTCTCACTGTACACTATTTTAAAAAATAGTGCCCCCTAAGATTCCGGCACAACTGGTGTGGGATACAATCCAGGCAACAATGTATCTTTATTTTATAATCTTTCCAGGGGAGTCTACAGTAACCTGGTTTGAAAACCACTAAAACTGCTTATCTGGTATATACATACACAAACTAGATCTCAGAAAAATAAAAGAATGGAAATATCTGCAGCATAAAGATGTTTAAGTTTACTTTTAAAACTTCAAATGTTAAATTCTTTCAATCTTACTGATCACTTTCTCCAACTATCACAGTCTCCACTTTACTGTCAGTCAAGGTCACATCAATTTCTGCATAGGCAGTGACCCGGGGAATGGAGGAAGCTTCTGAAACCACCACATCTTCCTCGATTTCATTGATAGGTCCTGGAAACAAAAGGAAAAAACTTTTAAAGAGCATCTGTTTGTCAACTAATTGGTAGACAAAATGGTTTACTCACTTTGAAGACTATGAAATTCGTTACAAACATAAAAATCCTATCAGTCTAAATGAAAATTTCTAAAAAACAGAGCTGAACGCACATAGTGAAAGCAATACTTACTCTCTTAATCTGTACATCTTCACATATTCCTCTTTTATGATTTTTGTTTATAAACTTAATGGTTTCCATAAGAATTTGTATGATCCTATATAGTGATATCAATCCTGCAATTTCTAAAGGTATTAAGATTTTATATATTCATATTCTTTAAGATATTAATCTTTTAGTTCTAAAATAAAGATATTAATTTGTTGTGTATTTTTTTCAAAGTTATTTTTAACAAAATGATATGTAATTCTATGAAATACACAACAGCTTTTCAGTTTTATACTATGAAATCTGTAATATCTGGGATATGTGTTCTTTTCTAAATTATTTTAAGTTTGGAAAGTGCTTCCTTATTTGGACAATGGATACATATTGTTTGGTTCAGTAATGTTTCCTTAATTATTTACTTCATCTAGAACTAATTTTTGTGTATGGTATCAGATAAGATTATAAATAGAATCCAGCCTTGTCCCTCCGTGGCTAACTGGCTATTACCAAACCACTTACTGAAAAACCCTTTCTTTTCCCTCTTTAGGTTTTGGTACCTCGCTTAAATATTCTTAAATGTTTTGGATTACATTTTGAAGCCATCTATTCATCTCCTTTGATATAGAATGTCTCAGGGTGATTCTTTTTTTTACATAGCTTTTCTGAGGTATAACTTTCTACTTTAAATTTCACATTTTTGTCTTAAAGAGATATTTGTACATCCATGCTCTTGGCCAAGAGATCAAAGCAACCCAAATGCCCATCAATGGATAAATGATTTCTTAAAATGTGGTAAATGCACACAATGGAATTTACCCAAAGAAAACAACTCAGATTCAAAAAGACATATGCACCCCTATGTTTATTGCAGCACTATTTGCAATAGCCAAGATATGGAAACAACCTAAGTGTCCATCAGTAGATGAATGGACACAGAAGATGTGGTACATTTATACAATGGAATACTACTCAGTCATAAGAAACAAATCAATCCTACCATTTGGAACAACATGGATGGAGCTAGAAGGTGGTATGCTCAGTGAAATAAGTCGGGCAGAGAAAGACAAATAGCAAAGATTTCCCTCATTTCTGGAGTATAACAAAGAAGCAAAACTGAAGGAACAAAATAGTAGCACACTCACAGACTCCAAGAAGGGACTAGCGGTTAACAATGGGGAGGGGTGGGAGAACGTGGGTTGGGAGGGAGGGAGAAGGGGATTTTAGGGAATCGTGATTAGTGCACATGGTGTGTGTGGGGTCATGGGGAAGGAAGACAGTGTAGCATAGAGAAGACAAGTAGGGACTCTGTGGCATCTTACTACACTGATGTACAGTGATTGCAATAGAGTATGGGGTTGATTCAATAATAAGGGTGAATATAGTAGCCACATTGTTTTTCTTGTGAAACCTTCATAAGAATGCATATCAATGATAGCTTAGAAAAAAATTCAGTAAAAAAAAATTAAAATAAAAAATAAAATTGTGGTATATACACACAATGGAACACTACTCAGCTTTAGAAAGTAAGGAAATCCTATCTCATGCTAAAACATGAAGAAACCTCAAGGCCATTATCCTAAGTGAAATAGTAGAGGCACACACATATACTGTATGATTCCACTATGGGACTTACGTGAAGTAGTCACACAAAAAAAATCACATAAATTTGACTGTACTACAGTAGTCAGATACACAGAGAAAGTAAAATGGTCAAGGCTGGGGTTGGAGGGAAGGGTCGTTTAACAGGTTCAGAGTTTCAGACTGCAAGATGACAAAGTCCTGGAGATCTGTTTCACCAACATGTGAATGTACTCAACACTACTGAACTGCACACTTAAAAATTGTTAAGCTGGATGAATGGATAAAGAAGATGTGGTACATATACACAGTGGAATATTATTCAGCCATAAGAAGAAAAAAAATCCTACCATTTGCAACAACATGGATAGAGCTAGAGGGTATTATGCTCAGTGAAATAAGCCAAGTAGAGAAAGACAAATACCAAATGATTTCACTCATATGTGGAGTATAAGAACAAAGAAACACTGAAGGAACACAACAGCAGCAGAATCATAGAACCCAAGAATGGACTAACAGTTACCAAAGGGAAAGGGACTTGGGAGGGTGGGTGAGAAGGGAGGGATAAGTGAGGGGAAGAAGAAAGGGGGCATTACAATTAGCATGTATAATGTGGAGGGGGGATGGGGAGGGCTGTGCAACACAGAGAAGATAAGTAGTGATTCTATAACATCTTACTACACTGATGGACAGTGACTGTAATGGGATTTGTGGGGGGGACTTGGTGAAGAGGGGATCCTAGTAAACATAATGTTCTTCATGTAATTGTAGATTAATGATAAGAAAATTTTTTAAAAAGGGAAAAAATTATTAAGCTGGTAAAAAAAAGAAAAAATTTGTGCCCATTTATTTTGCTGTATTTTTCACAAAGTAGTGGTGATTTTTTTTTTCTTTATAAGCATTCCAGTCTCTATCACCTGCCAATGTAAAGGTAAGTCAACAGTTGACAAATCATGTTTGTGATAAGAATTTTCCTATACAAATATTGATAGCTGAAATTTTCACCCATTTTAAGTGTACATTTCACTAATTTTAGTAAATTTATAGAGTGTAACCACCACCTCAATCCAGTTTTAGCACATTTCCAACACCCTAAAAAATATCTCAAATACCCTATTTCAGTCAATCATAATCCATGTCCATCCCTACACCCCTGCAACTGATCATTCTGTCATTATGGATTAGCTTGTGTTTTCAAGAGTTCTACATAAATGGAGTCATACATAATCAGTCTATGGCTTCTGGCTTCTTTCACTCAGTGTAATTATTTTGAGATTTACTCATGCTGTGTGTATCAAAAGTTCATTCTTTTTAATTGATGAGTAATATCCCAGGAATATACCACAATTTGTCCATTCTTCTGCTGATGGACATCTGGATTTTTTTCCACTTTTGACTAATAAATATAAAGCTGCTATGAACATTCATCTCTAAGTCTTCATATATACACATACTTTCATTTCTCTTGAGTAAATACTTAGGAATGTAATTTCTGGCTAATATGATCAACTCATATTTAACTTTTTAAGGAATTGCCAAATTGTTTTCCTAAGTGTCTGTACAATTTTACATTCCTATCAGGAAAATGAGGGCTCCAGTTTCCACATTTCCTTTTCAATAATTGTTACTGTCTTTTTGTTATGGCTGGTCTGATGGTTATATAATGGTACCTCACTGATTTCATTTCTACATATAACTAATGATGAGGATTTTTTCAAAATGCTTTTTAGTCACACTGATGGACCATCTAGTCAGATCTTTTGTCCATGTTTAACTAGGACTTCAGTCCTATTGTTGAATTGTAAGAGGTTTTTTTTTCTTTTGAGTCTATTTTCTGCAAATGACTTACTATTTTTTATACTGTAGTACACAGTATAAAACATAGGGGTCTTTATATATTTGGAATACAAGTCTTTTATCATATATGTTACTTGTAAATATATTCTCCAAGTATTTTATTTCTACACGTCTTTTATCATACACGTTACTTTTAAGTATTTTCTCCCAGACAGTAGCATGTCTTTTCATTTTCTTAATGGTGTCTTTTGAACCACAAAGTCTTTAATTTTGATGAAGTCAAATACACTTCTTCTGTAGATCATGCTTTTAGTGACATATTTAAGAAATCCCTGCCTAACCAAAGGGCAATGATCATTTTTCTTTTGTTTCCTTATAAGTTGTATAGTTTAAGTGCTTACATTTAGGTCTATGATGTATTTTCTTAATTTTTGTGTCTGACATAACACGAAAGGTCAAAATTCGTCTCTTTTGTACGTGGATCTACAATTGTCCCACTGCCATGTGTGAATAATTCTATTTTGATACCTAGTAGATTCAGGTTTACCTAATTATTCCTCAGGATTATAAAATCAAGAGGATAGGAAAATTCTTGAGATTTAGACTGGGTTGGCATTAAGCAACACTAATAAAGCCCTGACACCATTATAATACATATTTTCTTTTCATCTCATGTAACATCTTGAAGTTCCAATGATAAATCACATAAAGCTTGCTTTGCTAATAGATTAGAATTCAATTGATTTAACTTTATGAACACAGAGATTGTATAACTAAAGGTTAAATCAGTCACTCAGGCACTCTTGTTCTATTGATTAAACAGAACTCTATTGCACTAGGCTCTTTAAAAGGACAAGCATAACTTTAGCATAATACATGAAAATTATATAACTAGATAATTCAAAATAAAGATTCTACCATCTACAATCTAGTTTTCTTTAGAATGACAATTATGTAAAACAAAAATTAAAGTAAGCATTCCTGAAATCATTAAGTTAATCTTAATATAGCTTTAAAAAAATCAGGAGAATAGGTCCCTTCTTATTGGGCTGATTTTATTTTCATGTTGCCTTTTACATTAGAAACATTAAAAGATAAGGAACTTGAGTACATCTAAGACATTAGAATGAGTGACCATAGATGATTTTCTTTTAACTATTTCTCTTCATATTTTACATGTTGTTTGTACCTTTTAAAACACCATGAGAAAAGTACATATAATAGCCTGGAAAGAAATGTGGGTAGTATGAGAATGGTAACAAAAACAATGGCTATGGCTTCTCTTACAGATGCCTTCATGAACCAAAGTCCATTTCTATTCCCTGATAAGGAATCACAGATTTTCTTTGCAGCAGTGTTAGTCATTGTCATCACTGATTACCCTGGTCCCTCTGTGCCTTAAGTCTGGCAGATTTTAATAGTCAGAATAGCTTCCAATTTGTAAGCATATACTTTCTGCCACGTGTAATATTC